CATCTCATGTCTATCACACTTTCCACTACATCTGAAAAATGTTTCTCATCTTTGCGAGAAGTTAAACCATCTTTCAACACCAGTTTTCAAGAAAACCTTTAAACAGGATTTCTTCTGATCTGTTCCTAGCAATAGCTGTTTATTGAAGAGGGATCTTGAATTTGGAAGAAAAAATTAGTAAAATTTAATGGAAAAATCAGTTACAACATACAAGGGGGGAAAACTTCTACAAAATTGAGAAATTCCTTGCAACATACAATATTTTCTTCTATAATTTTCCTGTTGCCCTGCTAAAACTGATTATAAAAAAAAAGAAAGAAAAACCCTGTATCACCACCTGGTGGCAGAATTAATCATAGAAGCTTCCAACTACTTGATGCTAAAAGAGACTTTTATGAATTTAAATTTGTCCCAAATATTCGATTTTGCAAAGACAAACTTTAATAAAACGTAAGACCAAGATAAATTGACTCACTTTACCAATCTGTTAAATGAAGATTACAACATTCCTACAGAGCAGATAAATTAAGATCAACATTTGTATAGCACTTTGAATATGAAAAGCAATACATAAGTGCTAAGTGTTATTCTCAGTGATGGATATGGGAGTCATATAAATTAAGATAGTCTGGTGGCCTCATAAGAGAAATATTGACTATAAAGTGAAATATATTTTGCTCACAGTGATTCAGATATTAAGATACCATTAGTTTACAGCCAGCCACTGGTTTGATTCATTCTTGGCCTCTGAACTGGAAGTATGAGACTGGAACACCTCTTATTAATGAAATCAAACATGTGACGTTAGTCTATATTGAAGGGGGCGGAGGGACACATATGCCAATGCTTAAAGTAGTTGTCTTTCACCCTCGTTAGCAGTTTCAGCAGAGTGGCCATGGAAACTGAGTTACCCTCTCATAATCCTTCCAGTTCAGAGTTGAGGCACATTTGTGATGTGCAGGCAACCTAGAAATCCATTTGCCATGGGAAAAAAAGAGGAATTTGCATTTCTCTGTTTAAAAAAAATTTTTTAAATTTTGTGGAAAAATAAAGACATTAACTGAAGTTTACTGAAAGTACAAGTTTCGCTTATTCAATGTACACAACCTCCAACTCCTGGGGTTGATTTTTGAATGTGCTTTAAATTTACACAGCTAACCATACGCCAATAAATTGCTTCTGGTTACTCAATGGCATATAGGGGTTCATATTTTAATGCATCTCAAATTTCACTTCAGCCTACAGACATGAGTAATGCAAGTTATGAAAAGATGCTGAAAACCTGAAAAATCACCCCTAAAGACTGAGTTTGGCAAGGACAAAGTGCACGCTGATGGTAGTGTGCTGTTTTGCACTGTATGCAGCAAGTCTGTAGATTACATTCAAAATCAGACAATTGTATAACACATGAAACACGCTAAACAAACAATGCAAAGCAGAGGCTGAAACAGCAGGACATCAACAACAGTAAAGAAACAATGCACTGTGACTGGATCATTCTGTTAATTTTATTTTGTAGTAATGATTGATGGCACTGGTAGGCTTCAAACTTGCTTAAAAATTGTAAATATATAAATACAATATTGTGATCAACTCAGTGTTTACAGGACAGGGATCTAAGGGTACACCTACATTGCAAAAAAAATAATAAATAAATTAAAAAAAAATATCCCAAATCAGCAAGTCTCAGAGCCCAGGTCAATTGACTTGGGCTTGCATTATGGAGCTAAACTTAGCTGTGTAGGGGTTCCTGCTGGGGCTAAAGCCCAAAGCCCACACTCCAGTGCAAGCAAGAACGTCAACACTGCTACTTTTAGGTCTTGTCTACACTACAAAATTTTGTCAGCAAAAGCTGCCTTATGCCGACAAAACAGGGGAGGTCTACGCACTACAAAGCTACTTCTGGCAGCAAAACTCTGCTGTTTTGCAGACAAAATAAAACCACCTAACAAGAGGCAACTTTTTATGGCAAAGTGACAAAGCCTCAGTGTGGACTCTGTTTCGTTGACATAACTGGTTTCCACCAATATCCCACAATGCCTCCTGTGACTGCTCTGCTCACTGTTTTGATCTCTGCATGCTCTGCAGGCATGTGCGCCTTGCCTTTCAAAGCTCTAGGAAGTATCTGACAGCTGAGTATGCTGCTTCTGTTTGGGGATCAAAGAGCAAATCATTAAAGTAGAATACTCCTGTTCTTACCTGCACTAGGAACACAGTGTCAGGAAGGAAGGGGAGGGGGACTGCTGTACTGCTTTGACATTCCTCAGCGTGGAGAACTCAGAGCTGCTCAGGATGCTAATCCTGGCAGCTGACGAGACTGTGGGAATCACAGAACCAGACAGGCAGGCAGAGTGGGTTGCTTCAGAAGAGACTGCTGTGCTGAGCAGTCAGGGGCTGACGTGGCGGGGGGGGGTCCCCCTCCCCATGCCTCAGGATAGGTCTGCCAGCCTGCTGAATCCCCCACCCCAGACACACTGTTCTCCTCTCCTTACCCCCACCCTACCCTTCAGCTGAAAAAGCACTGACAATCTACTAAAATGCCCCTGGAAGGTAGGATTGAGAAACCTGCCCCATGAGGCATTGCAAACCCTTCTCAAAGCACCCTGCAGCCAGTTGCACAGTGGGATAGCTACCACAGTGCACTGCTCTGTCAATGCAAGAGCTGTTCGTGTGGATGCACTCTGCTGACACAAGGAGCTAGTGTGGATATGTAACAGTGGATTTAATTAAAGCAGCATAACTTTTGCTAACAAAACATTGTAGTGTAGACGAGGCCTTAGACCAGGAGTGGGCAAACTTTTTGGCCCAAGGGCCACATCTGGGAATAGAAACTGTATGTCATGCCATGAATACTCACAAAATTGGGGTTGGGATGTGGGAGGGGGCGAGGGCTCTGGTTGGGGGTGTGAGCTCCGGGGTGGGGCCAGAAATGAGAAGTTTGTTCAGGGTGCAGGAGGACGATCAGGGCTGGGGCATGGGGTTGGGGTGCAGGGAGAGGCTCAGGGGTGCAAGCTCTGGGCTGCGCTTACCTCAAGCAGCTCCCAGAAGCAGTGGCACGTCCCTTCTCTGGCTCCTATGTGGAGGCACGGCCAGGCAGCTCCGCATGCTGCCCCATCTTCAGGCACCGCCCCTGCAGCTCCCACTGGCTGCAGTTCCTGACCAGTGGGAGCTGTGGGGCCAGCACTTGGGGCAGGGGCAGCGTGCAGATCGGCGCTCCCTAGCTGCCCCTAAGCGTAGGAGCCAGAAAGGGGCCATGTCGCTGTTTCTGGAAGCCGTGGGGAGCAGCCCCTGATCCTGCTCCCCAGCTGGAGCACCGGAGCAGAGTAAGCCCCGGACTCCGCTCCCCAGCTGGAGTTTGAGGACTGGATTAAAATGGCTGGGGGGCTGGATCCAGTCCATGGGCCGTAGTTTGCCCACCCCTGTCTTAAATGCATAGAGCTCACCTGAGTCAGTTGACCCAGGCTCTGAGACTCACAGCCACAGGGTTTGGGATTTATTTATTTTCTTTTTGCAGTACAGGCATACCCTAAGAATTTATCTGTGTTGATATTTAGAGGAGGGACTCAACCGAGCAGCGAATGGAGGAATGATAGACATTATCAGGAAGGTCCAAAAACAGGGGCCCAGAATCCACTTCTGAACATCATGCATCACACCTCAATCCCCTTCTCCTTCAAGCCATTCCTCAGAACATATCTGGTCCATGAAGACCACAAATCCTAGACCTCCTCTGAAAGAAACAGTATCTCATGTAAAATAAAAAAATTCAAGGAACAAAAGGAGCCAATTAGCTAGAGAATAAATGAAGTCAGTTATCATTTCTTTCAAAACTACACTTAAAAGATTGATCAAAAACATATGAACTGTGGGTAAAAGTGTGAAGCTGAAATTCAGAAATATGCTGAAGGGTTCATAACAGAAATCAGAAGAGAAGAGTTCATGTAACATGTAAAAAAAAAAAAAAAAGGGAAATTTTTGTGGGTTAACATGCTCTTCAGCATAAGTGCTTACTTTAAAATGCATCATCTTCCAAAATGCATCCTGATGATATTTTGGCATGTTACAAGAACAAATTAACATTTGCACACTAATGAGCTCACCCACTGGACATATTTAGATGCAAGTTCACACCTGTTTTCAGATGTGTGCCTACTTTAACTTAATATACCTGAGTGACGGAGTGAGCGAGGATGGGCACAAAGCGGGGCGGCTCCTACGGGCAGAGTTTAGCACCCAGCGTGGCTCTCAGTGAGGAGTTAAAGATCTATAAATGGGCGTTTGCTTTAAAACAAGAGAAATTCTACTCAACCCAATGGCTAAAGATCAAGAGGCTCGGCGTTAGGAAGAACACGCACTCGCTCTCTCTCTCTACGGTGCAAGAGCCGTCCCGCCCGCCCGCCTTCCCACCGCCACCGAGCCCACTGCCACCTCCTATACCTGTCTCCCCCGACGTTCCCAGCAGCCTCCCGGATCTCCATAACCCGCCGCCACATTCCTGAGCCATTAATGATCCCAGCCCCTCCGACGGAGCAGCACCTGCAGCCGCCGAGCCCCTGCCCGCCACACAGCCGCGAGGAGGCCGACAGAGCCCCGTACTCACAGGCCGCGTCCTCCTGGTTCCACAACAGCGCAGCAGCCCCGCCGCCCATCACGCGGCTCGGACCGAGCAGGCCCCACCACCTACCCGCGGCCCGCCGCGGCTCCCACAGGAAAGCAGCGACGACGAGTCGCGCTCGCGACACGAGCGGGAACCGCGGCGCAGAACAAGAGGAACGTGCGTTCCCGCAGCCAATCAGCGAGCACAGCAAACGCCTTGCATTCTGGGAAATGGCGATTTCGTTACCGCGCGGCTCTAGCCAATCTCTCGCTCTCTCTCCGCGCTGCTGGGTGGTGATTCGCGAGAATGGGGCCAGCCGCCATGCTGGGTGTGGCCGACGAGGTGCCTTTCTCTCCGCCATGTTGAAAGTGACTCTCCCCCGCTGTGTTGTCAGGTGGGCGGCGCTGGTTTCCGCTTCCGGTGGGGTTGGTGGCTCTGCTTGCCGGGCAGGTGTCTGTGGTGCAGGGAGACTCGGGATGGGGTATTAAAGCGACGGCTCCGCTCGCAGTCTGGACTCGAGCGCGGTGGCGGCGCCTGCAGGTGGGAGGAGGCGGAAATCTCTGGGTGTGACGCCCCGTCTTTGCGGGGAGCGGGGCGGCCCGGCCCGTGTTGCCCAGCTCGAGGTGGGGTGGGAGCAGGGCGGAGTCCGGGTATGGTCTGGTGCGGTGCGGTGCGCTGGGCTGGTGGCTGGGCTGGAGAGCGCTCTGGGCTGCCCCACGCAGGGGCTCGCTCCCTGAGGCATGGGCTGGCTCCCTCTGCCCATGAGCCTGGCCTTAGTGCGGGCCCCAGGCGTGAGGCCGGAACGGGAGCCGGGGATGGGGCGGTGAGTTCCCGGGAATGGATTTCAGAGTCCTGAGCTCCTGCCCAGTGATCGGGCGTGGAGGCTCTCCCCGTCCTGCGGAGCTGTGGGAGTGCTGCCCTCTCCTGGGGAGGCGCCAGCTGTGCTAAAAGGCTTCGCCAGTTACTAGCAACAAAGGTAGTGGGGAATTGGCGACATCTCCAGTTCTAGTCACCGTGGTGACTTAGCTGTGTGTGTGTGTTCACTCATGTACAATGTTCCCTCTAATCTTTGATGGGCTGTGTGTGCAAAAAATTTCTTCTGTGCGAATTGTTGTGCTTCTGTGCAAACTTTTGTGCATGCGGTGTTTTGCTGGGTGCCCATGGTTTAGGATCTGTGTGCGTGTGCACAGCTTAGAGGGAACAGTGGTCATGTGCTTATTATCTCCTGATACATTGGTTTAAAATGTGTCCTTTATAATGCATTCAGGGAGTGCTGTTTAGCATGTGTAAGAGAGAACTGCTGAGCTCCAGGAATTGATGCTGGGTGGCAGATACGTACCTAGATAGAGAAGAAAATATAAGTGTTTAAGCATTAGAAATAAGAATGGCCTGCAACATAAGAACGGCGATACTGGGTCAGACCAGTGGTCCATCTGGCTCAGTATCCTGTCTTCCAACAGTGACCAATGCCCTGTGCTTCAGAGGGAATGAACAGAAGAGGTAATCGTCAAGTGATCCATACCCTGTCGTCCACTCCCACCTTCTGGTAAACAGAGACTAGGGACGCTCGGAGCATGTTATTACATCCCTGATGATCCTGGCTAACAGCCATTGATGGACCTATCCTGCTTGAACTTATAGGTTTTTTTGTTTTGTTTTGTTTTTAATACGGTTTTGGCCTTCACAACATCCCTTGGCAAGAGGGTGCCACACGTTAACTGTGTGTTGTGTGAGGAAGTACTTCCTTTTGTTCATTGAAAACCTGCTGCCTATTAATTTCATTGGGTTTCCCTTAGTTCTTGTGTTATGTGGAGGAGTAAATACATTTCCTTATCCCTGTTGTCCACACCAGTCAAGATTTTATAGACTACTATCATTATCCCCCTTTGTCATCTCTTTTCTAAGTCTTTTTAATCTAGCCTCACGTGGAAGCTGTTCCATCCCTCTAATCATTTTGTTGCCCTTCTCTGTACCTTTTCCAGTTCTACTATATCTTTTTTGACATGGGGTGACGAGATCTGCATGCAGTATTCAAGATGTGGGCATACCATGGATTTATATAGAGGCATTGTGGTATTTTTTGTGTTATTTATCCCTTTCGTAATGGTTCCTAACCGTTGGCACTTCGCACTGAAGAATGTCAGCTGCCCTCTTCAAGATGCTTTTAGAAGAGCAATTTGTTTCTTTATCCTTATAGAGCCTCCTCATCTCTGCAGAAAGAGTTTGGGAAAGTCTTTATACTAGGTGATGGCTGAAAGAAAGGTTCTTAGGGATGTGGAACCCTTATGCTACTCATTGCCTTTGCGGCACATGCAAACCATGCTTATATTGTTGGTTTATCAAACCTTTGTGCAGATCTGGAGCATATGATAAATGGCATGAATCTTCTACTATGTTAGATTTTAAACATCTAATTTGATATTCTTTCTCCCTGGCCTTTATAAGGGAGGGATCCTGTTTGCTTTCTGTATGAACTCACAGTACCTAAGAAACGCTATCAGGTAGTTTTTAAAAGAAATAAAATTTCTATTTTTAGTGGTTTAGAACATAAAACTGGTAGGTCCTGCTTCCCTGTCAGCAAACTGACAAGGCAGCAACCCCCAGTAAGCTTCATAGATATTTAACAACTCTTCCCTAGTTCTTATCCAAATGTCTTGAGGTGCTTTATAAACTTTTAGTTATCTGAGCCATGTAGGATTGTCTGAGAGGTACATAAAGAATACTGGATCACTTCACCCATCTGCTGTAGCCTCATCTGGGATGGAACACAATTACTGTTTAATAACAGACAGCAGAAGTATAGCCAAACGAATAATCTATCAAGTAGAATTTGCAAGGGAAATTTAGGAAGGTGTAATGTATTTACCTGGGGCTGGGTAAGTAGAGTACACCAGGGTTTAACACCCCTTCTGTCATGAAAAGTGACATTGTCTACCTCATGAATCTGAGTGAGCATATTCCTTAATTTTGCAGATTACACATAATATCATGCCTTCAGCAATATGATGCCCACTGATAATCCTATTGGGATATTAGTTCAGTATTCAGCTGGAAGAAACATGTTGTACATCTATTCTGCTCCTCACAACGCTTCAGGGGTTAGAGTTCAGAGTAACAGCCGTGTTAGTCTGTATTATAAATTGGTTAGTTGCTAAGGTGTCACAAGTACTCCTTTTCTTTCAGGGGTTAGAGTGGCTGCTCTAGGAAGGCTCTTCGGGGACAAAGAAGTGGGCTGTCCCCAGTGCTGATGAGGGGGCTCTTTGGCTTATCAGTGTCTGGCAAGTGGATTCTGAGAGAGGCCCAGTACTGATCTGGAAATTCATCCCTTTGAGTACCTCACTCTTCTGTAAGTCTAGGCACATTTGGGACAGCAACCAACTGTACAGTAAGGTGTTAAATTTGTGTATAATAGATGGTCTTCCAGCCAATCGTGGGAGGGCTCTTATACACTGGTCATGGGGTTTTCCCAGAGGCAACAAGCTGGCTCTGCTTGGACAAATGAAAAGCGGAACATACTACAAGAAGAGACGGCTGGAAGAACAGGCACTGGTAATGCCATCTCATCTTTACAATGTGTTCAGGAAGTTGATAAGAGAAGCCAGGAAGGGTGCAGAATGGTATCTTTGGTTTTTTTTTTTTTTGTTTGTTTGTTCTCCCCCTCTCCCCCCACAGTTGCTTTACTTGTTTGGATATGAGACAGACTTTGAGGGGAGGGGAATATGGGAGGGGGAGGGAGGAGGTTCTGGTGCTGACACTTTATAGTGTCCTGCAGCAGGAATCTGCTGTGCCTATAACATAAGTAGGCTTCTTCTCCTTTCAACTAATAAAGGGATTTAAAAAAGCACATGCGTTTCTTCCATGCATTCTTTCATGTAAAAGATGTAGTAGTCCTAAGCCAGCTGTTTTTGTCTTCTAAATCACCTAATTTCAAATTTATGATAGTACTGCTCATCACTTTTTATCTCAAATCTCTGTGCAAACATCAGTATATTAAATCCCTGCATTCCTTTGGGGATAGCCATTATCTCTCTTTCAGTTGTGATAACTGAGGCACAGAATAGTTATGACATGAGTGAGGCCACACAGAAAGTCACTGTCAGAGCTGAGATTACAGCTCAGGAGTCCCACTTTGTTGCTGAAACAATCATGTTTGTCTCTTATTTCCTGCCTTTCTTTCTTTGGAAATATCTCATACCTGTAGATGCTCCTGTCAGCAGCCTACGGTTTGGTGTTACCCTGTTTTTAGTCAAGTGTGATTGTGTGTACTCTACTTGCGTTCTTCACTGGTGCTTGCACAGAATTTCACAAGAAATCAATGAGCTAGTGAAGGAGTTTCTTTTGAGGAGAGTTTTGTAAATCTTATTCACTTTTACTGGTAAACACACCAGATTAAACAAAGGATAAATCAGGTTAGTTATTTGTATAGTCACCTGACAAGGTTTAATGCAATAATTCAGCACAAACATTTTATTCTGCAACACATGATATCCTTAAACCTATACTCTGGGAAAACTTTTAATTCCCTTGATTAAGGGACAGGGCCACATATGCCTATTTAGTATCATTACCATAGTTCGGCAGTTTTGTGCTCCATAGAATTTTTCTCTGGCTAGACGTAAAATTAATGCCCAAAGGGACACAGTCAATAGTATTATCCCACTAAGAATTTCTTACCTTATATTGTCATAAGTAACATCTGCCATTAATCTAATGGAAAGATCCCATAGAAAACATTGACTGGATTTATAGACTTTAAGGCCAGAAGGGTCTATTATGATCAGAAGGACATAGGTAGTAGAACTTCACCCAGTGATCCTTGAGTCAAATCCATGATGTCTGGTTTAAACGAAGCATATTTTTTAAGTACAGATCCACTTTTAATGTAAAGACTCCCAGTGATGGAGAACTAAATACTTAAGTAATCTGTTCTGATCGTTAATTACCCTCATTGTCTTAAAGTTCTGATTTATTTCTAGTCTGAATTTGTCTATCTTTAACTTCCAGCCTTGTATCTTGTTATGCCTTTGTATACTAAATTCAAAGAGCGCTCTCTCAGAAAAAACTTCCTATGCAGGTATTTACAAACCATGACCAAGTCTTATCTTTATTTATCTTCTCTTGGATAGACTAAATAAACTAAGCTTCTTTAATCTTTTGCTGTAAGGCACATTTTCCAAACCTTGAATATTCTTCTGGCTCTCTGCTGAACCCTTTTCAATTTCGCATCTTAAACTGGACATGGTATTCTCTGTTTAGGGCAACAGAGAGACTATTGCTGGAATACTATGTCTCTACTTTTACTTGTGATTCCCCTACTTGATGTCCCAGTATTTCTGGTGCACAGGAGCTTTTCACTAACAATAATGGCTCTTTGGTGACTCTTCTGAAATAATTGGGTGATCACTTGCAGATAGAAGTGGATATTTGTCACAGACTGATTTATTAATATCTGTACAGATGCCCATTATAATGGGGGGATGTTATAGAAGAAGCAAGTTCTGTGAAGCATTTCTCACTTCATAACAGCATTCTCTGTCGTCTTAGGGTAAAGCTTTAGCCAACTGCTCTCTATCCGAATGTTGGTTTTGGCAAAACATGGCAGTAGCTGTGTAGTGGTGGTGATTGTTAGATGGTGACCAGCTCTACATCCATGTGGTGCTGGCACTTCAACCTGGGTTGCTTCATCAGGCCTCCCAGCAGCTTCTTAGATATGTTGAATGGTATGCGGGGCAGGACTCACCCTTGTAGGACTCTGCAGATGAGGGTTTGTCAGTGGAGGAATAGTTGCCCTCTGGGTCTGCTCTGAGAGGAAGGATATAAACTATTTCAGTATATTTTTATTCATCCCACCAGCTTCTTGTGGAGAGACAGGAGTATTCAGTGATCAAAGATATCAACTATTGTACTACATTAGACTTTTGTATAGTCCAGTACTTCTCAAGCTAGTGCCTTTTTTTATTCAGACACACAATTTTGTGGACCCCCCCCCATTATAAAAGTAAAAAAAACAAAAAAACCCTAAGTAACAATAAGCCTATATAATACAACTGTCACTGCATTTGACCTCACAAACACAGAAGATTTTGGTTCACTGCCCTGAAATTATTCTGGAAATCTTGTTTTTGCTGCTTGAGAACTGTAATAAAAATTTCAATGCCTCACAACCCTCTGACTGTCTTTTGTGATCTCCCCTTTCTGGAGAAGGGGTGGAGGGTCACAACACACCAGCTGAGAAACACAGGTATAGTCTAAATCCTTTCCATATTATATGGAATGTAGTCTTCCCCCCCATCCCCCCGCCCCTTTTGTGGAAGGCATGAGAGTACATCGTACAAAAGAGGGGAAATCCTACTAACTTAGTGAATGAGACGCTTTAACAAATGTAATATTTAGGAGGAAAAAGCAAGTGCTAGACTGGGGACAATTACTGGAAAAAGGAACTGCCTGTAGACTTAAAATGAATTGTGTTGTAATTTTTTTTAATCTAGATAATGAGCTGAGTTATGAGGTAATTTACCAGGTTGAGACATTAAAGATCTGAAAACTTGCACCATGATTTGTTAATAGTGATGAGCTATTTGCTTTGTATTGTTGGTCGGTCAGTCTTGATCAGAAATATTTTATTTCCTTGTTATTTCAGAAATTAAATTTGATTCCACACATCTTCCTCCCCCCCCCCCCCAAATCATTCTAACTGGATGTGATGCTTATTAAATGCACGTCACTCTTAAACTATAAATTGTGCAAATGAATGACTTCTATTAAAATTTGCTATGTTATGTGGCTAATGCATTTAAAGCTACTTGACTTTCTAACACACTAGGTTGTTAACCTGAGGGAACAGGTAGTGCTAAATGGCCTTGCGGTTCTTGGGACTCTACCTGCAGTTGAAAAAGTAAGGAAACTGGTTGGATGTTACAAAGCAAATATCTCCAGCAATCCTGTTGGATTAAAGAATAAGATTAGAGCTAGTACAACATTTGGTATCTATTAAAGTCAAAATGATTTTTGTGAGTGCCTGTAAAGTAGAAGGAAGTGGAGAGAACTTTAAGGGTTTGTGTTGGGATCTCTTCCTGATCATTGGGGTACTAGTGTTCTTAGCACCTGAATCTCATTCAATATGATACTAAAAATAGATGGAGAACAACAAGAGTGCTTCCTAGAGCTGAGATGGGTCCTGCTGATAACTACAGAAGTACACAAACAAGGAAATACTCTCGTGATTTTAGAAAATACAGGATATGTGTACACTGCAATAAAACATCCATGGCTGGCCCATGTCACGTGTCTTTGGCTCCGGCTGCTGCAGGGCTATAAAATTGCAGTGTAGATGTCTGGGCTTGAGCTGGAGCCTGGCTCTGGAACCCTCGCAGCGTGTCTTATTGTAGTGTAGAGAGATCCACAGGGCTCAAAATAAGTACCTGCCAAAAATGGAGTGGAGGAAGTACAAAACTGTCTAAGAGAAATAATCTTAGATTTCCTAACATTAGAGGAATTAAAACTACTTTATTTAAAATATCTTTTTTTTAAATCTCCATAGCATTGGTTGTGGCCACAGCTGCCTAAGGAGGAGAAGCAGCAGAGGGGAGAGAGCTGGTACAGAGAGCATTGGGAAGAGCAAAAAGTCAATAGTGGGTACTGGCCAGAGCTGGGGAACCCTTGCTGTGTTAGAGGAGAGCTTGTTTAGAGGCCCCCAGGAAGGAGGGGAAGAACCAGCCTAGATAGGAGAAGCTGATTCCAAAACAAGAGGGTTGATGCTCAAGGGTAGATGTAGGACTTGCAGGCAGGGACACCTTGGTGAATGGAACACTATGGGAAGTCCCCTTGCTGCAGGAAGCCGAGCCCAGAACAAGGGGCGAGTCTGGAGGGATGTTCCCTGAGCAGCAGGAGCTCTCAGGTCTGGAGGCCTGACTTGAGTGCAATACTGTGGAGAGTTCTGTGGCAGGGAACTTGACTTGGGGCAATGAGAGAAGACTTCAGGAGAGGAGTGACTCTTGGAGCTCTCAGGCAGCCTGGAGAGTAGGGCCCTGGAAAGGGGCTAAAAGAACTTTGACGGGTGGGTGACCTGTGAACGGTGACCTTTGAAAGGGTTTGAAGAGCTACTGTGTTGTAATCTTGTCTGTCTGTGGGGATTTGAGAGGAGCTGTTTTTACTATGAGTGATAAGTGAACTGAGACACTCCATATGAATATAGGGTTTGAATTTGCACCGAAATATAATATTCCTTTGTGCAGGTGGATTTCATGGAGAAACTGAGACAGGCCTGACGATTGTGCTATGGTCTGCTGCAGGAGGATGCCCCAGGTGGGGCTCATCAGATCAGTGTTGCGTAGTCTATTTTAAAAG